TGTAATTTTCAAATTGAATGTAACCAATTATCCAAATGGAACTTGCTTTAAGAAAGTAAACAGTGTGGATTTTGATTTAAAGTTGTCTTCTCAGGATGGTCAATGTGGGTCTACTCTTTTTGTTTTTCTTTCTAGCCTAGGCGGCACATGAAATGTATTTGAACAAAATAAGGGGTGACAGAAGTGATATTTTCTTCCAGAGGGCTTAGAAAGGTCCTTCATTTCCAGTCCACTTCTTGAAGCCACTGGCAATACTTTCCCGCTGTCCACATCACCACGTGACATAACCAGTTAAAGCGCAGCCATAAACATCACGTAAGGGATGACAGCTAGAACCACCCCAAACATCAAACTAACAACCTGGAACAGACATTCCACATCTACAAATTTTGATGCATCAATTAAAGAAAACCTCAGTAACCTTGGACATAAGCACATTAGGAATTCAGCTTTCAAGTGGATTTGTCCTAAAGGGCATTTTTAACAGCTTTCATTTCTAAGCCATAATAACAGTCTGCTCTCTTTCTCTTCTCTCCCTCTCTGAAACACGTGCAAGCACTATGGAATTCAGTGTGCTGCAAAAGTTTCCCCCAGATACTTCAACACATCTGAAAACGCTCTCTGCATGGTGATGATTATGTCTAATCTCCTAACTCATCACCACAATAAGATTCAGTGGCGAGATGTTCATAAGGCGCTCATATGTAACATTTGTTGAAGTTTAATTCATTCTCTCTGCCTGTGCAAGTTCACGTAACACCCACAAAAACATGTGAATGAGAGTGAGGAGTCTGTGAATTGTTGCTTTATAAATGGAAAGAGCTTTGATGGCCTAAACTGTAAGACATCAGTCATTCTGGCATACTGAATAACAACTTAGACCCTGTGAACCTTGCACTATTTATACTGTTACTGCACAAAAAGCACATCAACTTGAAATATTGTCTAAATCGAATGGTTATAAAATAAGTACAACTGAACTGAGATTGGTCATATCTTCTGCAAAAAATAAATAAATAAAATAAAATGGCATTTTCAGCAGAGGTGGGGAGAGCATCAAAAAACTGTACTCAAGTAAAAGTACAATTATAGAAATAATTAAAACTCATGTAAAAGTAAAATTGTAATAGTTACTTGAAGAGTAAAAAAAAAAAAAAAGTATCCACAGAAAACACTACAAACACTGATACATTAGATCATATCCATATATGTCAGAAATTAACTTTTCTTTTAAGGGGAACTGTTTGGCCCTGATTTCCAGAGCCATTTTTTACATAAAGTTTTTTTTTTTTTTTTTACCTTTTTTACAAAATAAGAAAACGTCTTTTTCATCATTTTCACAACACATGCTGCAAATACTAACAACATAACCAAATACAGAAACACGCTACAAATAGTACAATGTATTTTAAGTCTAATTAAAATTAATTAAGTCTAATGTGAGTACCTTTGCAAAAACTCCTGTTATAATTACTGAAGCTGTCTACAATGCAAAATCAATCTCTTACTTACATATTTTCTGCACGTTTATGCTGATGGGAGAATTCACCAATGCAGACTGAGAATTCAGTCAGCAAGTGCACACACTGAACAACTCGAATCAAAATGCCTCAGACTGGATATTGCATTCATAAGCACAACAGAAATGTGTGTGTTTGGTTATAATGCTCAACATTGTAAACGGCGTGCAAAAGGGAATCTGCAGATTTGGTTTTCAACTGACTGTATTTGTCACAAATGTTGTCCATGAACTTCCGTCTGCTTGCCACCAGAGGTCGCCCTCCCATTATAGTGACTCTCACACCACACAGACTGTTACACATCACCCTGGACTACATTTCCCATGCTCCATTGCACTAATCACAAGCTCACCTGAAACCAATCACACACAGCTGCTACCAATAGCACACACTATATAAATCAGTCTCACACCACCATTCGGCGCCGAGTATTGTTTAGCGTTTATCACTGTTTAGTTGATAGCTACTTTATGGAGCCTCCTCTATCTTTCCCAGTTTAGTCATAGTCTTGCCTTGCCTGTTTTTCCCGTGTTCTGATTCTCGCCTGTGTATTTCGGATTACCCCTTTCGTCTTGCTCTGTTTACCCCTGCCTGGATTATTGCTGTGTACATGGATTATCTCTCTTTGCCTTGCCCTGTTGGATATTGTTCACCATTGATCGACCCACGGCTGTTTACTAGACTGCTCTTGTGTTTTGCCCGTTCCATACCTGTTTGCTGGTGTTTAGACCCTGCCTGTGTTTGTGACCACATCTTTTAATAAAAAGCTTGCATATGGACCCGCACGTCTCTCGTCTCGTCGGCTCCGTTAAAGAATACTCGGCCAAACAAGGATCCAGCAGCTTTTCAAACAGACATTGGCCAGGTATGGACACAACTAAAATATTATTTGCCCTTAAACAAGGTCCATGATCGCTGGAGAACCATGTTCGAGAGTTTTTAGCCATCCCTCACTACTCTGAATTACCGGACTGTGTTTTGATAAACATTTTCTGTGATGGCATTAATCAACCACTACAGTCTAAGCTCAGACGCGAGGGTCCGTGTTCGTCACTCAGTCAGTTTCTGGACTATGCTCTGTTGTCTGTCGGTTCCTCATTCACCGTGGGTGTCGCGGAGGAGGAACGCGACATCACGTCTGTGCCTATAATGGCGGCGACAGCGGAGCCCGTTCACAAAATGGTGGCAACAACAATGCTTAGTCATGTCACAGCCGCCATCCATGAGTCAAGTCAAGTCACAGTTGATCTTCATGAATCAGGTCACGTCTCAGCTGAACTTCCAGAGTCTCGTCACGTCTCAGCTGAACTTCCAGAGTCTCGTCACGTCTCAGCTGAACTTCCAGAGTCTCGTCACGTCTCAGCTGAACTTCCAGAGTCTCGTCACGTCTCAGCTGAACTTCCAGAGTCTCGTCACGTCTCAGCTGAACTTCCAGAGTCTCGTCACGTCTCAGCTGAACTTCCAGAGTCTCGTCACGTCTCAGCTGAACTTCCAGAGTCTCGTCACGTCTCAGCTGAACTTCCAGAGTCTCGTCACATCACAGAAACGGCGGTGGCCACTGTGATGTCTCCCGAGGTGGCGGCTGATGCTGCAGATCCTCCCGAGGTAGTGGCGCATGCTGCCGTGTTCCCTGAGGCGATGGCACCCGCTACAACTTCTCCAGAGGTGGTGGCCCATGCTGCAGAACCTCCCGAGGTGGGGCGCTCGCTTCAGCTCCTTGCACGGTGGTGGCGCCCAGCAGTGCACTTTCAGCATGTCATGTTGCAGTCAAAGGAACCGTTGATGAACGCTGTACCTGTCCAGCTAAGGAGAATGTTAATGAACTCTCCCTGTTTCCTGATGGTACTGCTGTAGAACCTCCAGAGGTGGCGGCATCTGCTGCAGAACCTCCAGAGGTGTCAGTGGTATCCACCTGTGAACTCTCTGCCTGTCCTGTCACGGCTATGGAAGCCGTCTGCGAATCCTCGTCCTGTCCAGTCATGGCTATGGAGGCCGTCTGCGAATCCTCGTCCTGTACAGTCATGGCTACGGAGGCCGTCTGCGAACTCTCAGCCTGTCCCGTCACAGTTGTGGAGGCCGTCTGTGAACTCTCTGCCTGTCCTGTCATGGCTATGGAGGCCATCTATGAACTCCCTGTTTGTCCAGTCACGGCTATGGAGGCCGTTTACGAACTATTGTCTCGTCCTGAACTGGCCAAGGAGGCCGTTTGCGAACTATTGCCCTGTCTCAACCCAGCCGAAGAAGCTGTTTCTGAACTCTCAGCCTTGTCTGTCACACCTGAAGATGCTGTCTGTGAACTTCCTGACTGTTCTGCTGCGGCTACAAGGGCCATTCAGGAACTCTCATCTATGTCTGTCACTGCCATGAAAACCTTTAATGAACTCCCTGTATGCCCTGTTAACCCCGTCACGAGTCCAGAAACCACTTGTGAACAATCTGTCTGTCCTTTCCATGAGACTAACTGTCTGTCCTATTCATGAGACTAACTGTGAACTGTCAACTTGTTCAGTGTTCCAGCATATGTTTGATTTCCCTGTCTGTCAAGAACCAGTTAATAATGCTGAGTTAGAGCTGTCAGTCTTACCAGTTTCAATTAATGATTTCACAACGGAACTATCTGCTTTTCTAGTATCTCCCAATGTGCCTGATTATGACCCATCTGTATTGTCAGTTTCAGTCAGGGAGCCGAACTAGGAACTATCTGTACGTTCTGTTTCCCTGAATATGTCTGAGTTTGAGCCATCTGTCTGTCCAATTTCAAGTAATGTGTCTGAATTGTCTGTCAGTCCTGTTCTGGTCAATGAGTCTGTTGAATCATCTGTCGGACCAGGTCCCATTAATGAGTCTGACTGTGAATTGTCTGCCGGTCTAGTTTCACTCACTGAGATGTCTAACTATCTGGTTTCTGCTAGCGATAAGTCTGATTGCGAACCATGTGTCAGTCCAGCATCCGTCATTGAGTCTGATTTTGAATCACCTATCTGTCCTTTGTTGATTAATGAGCCTGAGTATGACATGTCAACCAGTCTAGTTTCAGTCAATACATACAGTTTGAACCATCTCTTTGTCTAACTACCATTAAGGGACTTGAGTGTGAATTGTCTGCCTGTCTAGTTCCAGTCACTGAACTCTCTGCCAATCCAGTTTCAGTCAATAAGTCTAGTTGTGAACTGTCAACGCAACCAGTATTTGCCAAAGACTCCAATGATGAACTTTCTGCTCGAAATAATTGTCACCATGAATTGTCACCAGGGAAAACCTTGAGCCTTTTGTGTTCCCTGCCTCATTCCCTGAGACCATATATGCTCTGTCTGTTTCTTGTGTCTCAGTCTCCCTAGGTTCCAATCTCTACCAGGAGTCTCTGCTCCATCTGCTCCACCGTGGTGGTCTTCTGCTCCGTCTGCTCTGCCGTAGTGGTTTGCTGTCTGGCCCTGGTGGTCTTCTGCTCTGTCTGCTCAGCCGTGGTGGTCTTCTGCTCCGTCTGCTCCACCGTGGTGGTTTGCTGTCTGGCTCTGGTGGTCTTCTGCTCCGCCGTGGGAATCTCCGGACCCGTCTGCTCTGTTGTGGTGGTCATCTGCTCCACCTGTACTACCGGTTCCACCCTGGTTCTCTGCTCCGCCCGGGCTTCCTGCCTTGCCGGTATCATTCTGGTTCTCTGCTCCACCCTGGCTTCCTGCTTCGCCGGCATCACCCTGGTTCTCTGCTCCGCCCTGGCTTCCTGCTTCACCGGTTCCAGCTGGGTGCCCTGCTCTGCCAGCTCTGCTTCAGTCCCCGGTCTCTCACTCTCACACCACACAGATTGTTACACATCACCCTGGACTACATTTCCCATGCTCCATTGCACTAATCAGTAGCTCACCTGAAACCAATCACACACAGCTGCTACCAATAACACACACTATATAAATCAGTCTCACACCACCATTCGCCGCCGAGTATTGTTTAGCGTTTATCACTGTTTAGTTGATAGCTACTTTATGGAGCCTCCTCTATCTTTTCCAGTTTAGTCATAGTCTTGCCTTGCCTGTTTTTCCCGTGTTCTGATTCTCGCCTGTGTATTTCGGATTACCCCTTTCGTCTTGCCGTTCGGACTATGTTTGCCCCTGCCTGGATTATCTCTCTTTGCCTTGCCCTGTTGGATATTGTTCATCGTCGATCGACACACGCCTGTTTACTGGACTGCTCTTGTGTTTTGCCCGTGCCATACCTGTTCGCTGGTTTTTAGACCCTGCCTGTGTTTGTGACCACGTCTTTTAATAAAAAGCTTGCATATGGATCCACACATCTCTCATCTCGTCGGCTCCGTTAGAGCATTCATGCCCACTTCATCCATGCTCTTTATATTCACCATACTTTTAAATTTATCTTAAACGGCTTCAGATGATTCAGTGAAGGGAACTGAACAAAACATTCAATCTGATTCGCGAACCAATTTAGACCGTTTTGCTAACTATTTTTGTTCAAGGCCTTGAACAGAATCGACTCAAAAGAGTGTTTCATTCATGAATAGGCCATCGCTTATGCCCCAGAAAAAAAGAGACCGCTATCTTGCAGTAAACTATATGCATTTCTTAACATGTATTGCATTAAAGGGAGTTAACTAGAACTGAGGTTCAGGAGCGAGGCCACGCCTCGCCCAATCACCTCATTCCCAAATCCTTCATATATCGGGCCGCCTCATACACACCTCATATGCCTGTTTGTCTCTTTCTCTCGAACGACAGACGGACTCGCCTGGTCCGGACGGCGTTCTTTTCGATTCAATGCCACTGGCGTTGCTCGAGGAGCGCCTCTCATTGTCCCGATCGCAGTTGTTTTTCCGAGCACTCGCGTTTGATAATGCACATTCCTGGGCCCGCGAGTGTTTCACTCCCAGGCTCATCTCGGGAGGACTCTGAGCTGTTTCCGTGGTCCGCCCTCTCCTTCAGTGGGATCTGCGGGCCACAGTGGTGGACGCGGAATATGGAATCCTCGCTCTCCTCGCGAGCCGCTTCTCTGGCGCTCGACTTCCGATTGCTTTCCTCAGTGCTCCCGTCACACGTCTTCAGAGCTGAGACAACATCAGTAACCTGAACCACGGATCGCCTTCAGCACACACTTAAATCCAATGTATCCAATTCAATCGGGCAGATAACAAACAATTATTCCAACTATATTCAGTATCAATAAAACTTCTGTCATAACAAACTTTGAGCCCTCAGCACTTCCGGCAACTCCTAGTGAGTCACTCTCCATCACACGTGACATCACGAGAAATTCTCCTCCAAAGCATCAGACAGCAGCTCCCCCTAGCGGCAGGCAAGTCGTAATTCCACCTGCACTCGCTTAATCTGATATCTCCTAAAATTATTCTCTTCTCTATGCTCACAGTTGCTCCTAAAAACCCTGCTCATAAACATCCTTTCATCCCAACATCCATTCCTATACCCTTCCCTTCAGCTGATTACAACAATACGGCCCACAGCCCAAAGACATGCAGGTTGGTTAAATTTAACATTCTAAGTTGCTCCCCCTCGACTCGTGTGTATAACAGACTTGTGTACGGATTGATTTATGTATGGATTAACTGGTCCTCACCATGAACATAGCCACAGATGTTGGAATGGTGTTAAGAAGTAAATAAACAACAAACAATCAGCAATACGGCTCAGTGTTTTCTAATAATTAGAATGATTATTATTAATAATATAAAAATAGTATAAAATTATTAATAAATAGCTACTTCTAAATTCCAGATGCCTCATTCAGTGTCCCTTGGGACCTTACCTCACGGAGGGCAGTCTGGTCTCCTTCAACCTCCAATTCTATTTCCAAATGGTCTATCCATTCTCCCCGCCATCCCTCCCTCCCTCCGTCCCTCCATCAATACCCTCTCATCCTGTCATCTAGCAACAAACCCCACTCACAAACATCTTTTCATCCCAACATCCATTCTTCCACCCTTCCTTCAGTCTTTTACAGCAATACGGCTCGTGTGTCTCTAATAATTTTCAATAGCTACTTTTTCTCTCCTTTATCCCTCCCTCCCTCTCTCTGTCCCCCTTCCTCTATTCATACCCTCTCATCCCACCATCTAGCACTAAAACCCCACTCACAAACATCTTTTCATCCCATCATCCATTCTTCCACCCTTCCTTCAGCCATTTACAGCAATATGGTTCTCATGTTTCTAATTATTCTCAATAGCTACTTAGAAAAGTTTTAGAATTTTATCATATGTTAATATGAAAAAATTTAAAACAAATGGTTTTTATTGTATTTGTTATACTTGTATTTTTTAATTGTTTGCCATGAAAATGGCAATTGGGACGCTCAGACGCTCGCGCTCCTCGTGAGTCTGAGCGTCCCTGTAAAAAGGGGCGATTCACCGGTTCGATCAAAAGGGCAGTGTGACAGAGAGGTCCCGTAGACCTGACCGTCTATCCAACTGCAGAGTGGAAAAAGAGTATTAGGCCCCTCAACGCCTCAGCGAGATCCCTATCAGTGACGCAAACACCCAACCAGGACATCAGGGAGCACATACGAAGCATTATACTCCGAAAAATCACCCAAATGGAGGACCCGAGAGTCCTGAAGTTGCAGCGTTATACTGTGGACCTGATCGGCTAAAAGGGAAATCAAGCGAGAACAGGAACCGCTGCCGCTGCGTCGCTATTCCCACGAGAGGCGAATGCACTCATGCAAACGCTATCTACAAACTCGGGTAAATGGTGAAGTACTCATCTCCCCCTCATTAGTCTTGTGAATGCATCACGATGAGCACAAGCCGTCTCCTCGTGAGACGGGAGCATTCAATTCATGCTTATCCCTCACAAGAAACAAGCAATGAATGCAGAGCGCATCCAACTCCCTCGAGAGCTTAACGCGCTTGCTCTTCACTACACACACACACAGAACGCGAGCCGAGTGAAACTGCGGGTATCTGAGCAAAGCCTCTGCCGAGAGAACATGCGCTCCTAGTCGTGCTTAACATAAACAAACGGTCAGTGAAGACGAAGAAGAGGATGACGTGTTATCCCAGTGCCCTTTTATACTGTGATCGCGCAGGGTAATGACGTCATAGGCTGTCGCCAGCCAATGTCATTGTCGTGTTTAGATGTATGCTTCAGACATCGGTCACACTGAAGGCATTCCCCATAGTGACTTCTAGAGGACGCAGTTCGAAGTTCCCTCGGAAGGGAACTACAATTTCAACCGCTTATCCACTGCAGCTCTGCCCCCTTCAGTTATTCCTAAGTGCCATCAAACTAATTTATTTATCAGGCCATGGAGCTCGGCTCGCCAAAGCTGATATCACCAACGACTTCAAGTCTTGAATATACATCCAGATTTCTAGTGGTCCTTCGGAGTAGAGACCTGCGCGGGACGGATTTTTCAGTCCCACTCCCGCAAGATTTTGTCCTGCGCCCGCCTGCTCCCGCAGAAATATGTTATCTTTTCCCGCTCCCACCCTGTGTCACATTCATGTTTTGTCCCGCTGCCGCCCGCATAAAAGTAATCTATAAAGTTTTTTTCAGTACATCGAAGAAATTTACATGAAATGGTTCTGTAACCTCTTCTAAGCTCCATAACATCCCAGCTTTAACACTCCCGATAAAATATTTGTCATTTAGGCTAAGCATCAACATTCACAAACCCCTTATTTTTAACAGAAAAGCAGGCATCGGCTGCTGCGTGCATGGTTTGGCATGGCAGAATGCCAGCAAACAGCGCGTTCCCTTGATTATCACTAAAATCTGACATCTCAGTTCATCACGATCTCATAAAGCTCTTGTAACACAATGAATATATGTACAATGAATCTTTCACAATGTCTACACTTCGTGTGTTAAAATGGGAGGATTCATGAGCACGCAATTTCAGCACTGCTGTAAGTGGATTCTTTTAATATTAATGTTAGTAGTTCTTTTTGCTTTTGTGCAACAGATAAATTTTAATATTTTGTAGACATTTTATGTTTAGATATTTTTATTTTGCGGGAGTCCCACAAATAATTTTATTTTCCGCATCCCGCACACACACGATCTCTACCTGCCCGCACCCACACTCGCCCATCAAGATTTGTTCCGCGCCGCACCCTGTTGCGTTGGGTCCCGCGGGAGTGCAGGTCTCTACTTCAGAGTCTTCTGGAAATGTCCCGATTACTTCACTGTACGCCTCACTTTCAGCTGCAGAATCAGACCTAGGAATTTCTACTTTCTCTCCGAAGCACTATTCCAGATTTCACCAACAACCACACACTCCCTTATGTCCTTCACCTTATGGATGACTTCATAATGTAACACCTCAATCGCACCACTGCGATCGGGATTTCCACACTAATCAAGGTTTTCACCAAACTCAGCGTTCCATTTTCAAAGCAGAAAACCTCAGGACCTCATACCACCATCGAGTTTTAGGCGTCACCCTTGACTCATTTCAGTCTCATTCATTTCAAGCATCTCCACCCTCTACAAAATCCACCGAATCTCACTGTTTCTTTCCAACTTCTATTAACAGATAAATGTACAAGTGTCAGCTACTTGCACTTCTAGGCCACCTCAGCAATGACATCTGGATAATTCCTCAAGGGAAATTCTTCTTGTCCAACCTTCTGTCTAAAGCAGCAGCCATCCCATCTCTCCACAACAGAGTCATATTAGATGATGCATGCAAATGGAAATGCGCCTCTGGCAACAATTCCTCCCATCCAAGAACAGCATCTTCTATCTCTATAACAACTACATCTCTCATCTCGATGACTTCCAACTATATACTGATGCAGCACCGTCAATAGACTTCGACTGCCATTACGGTGGGCGCGGGTTTTCCTCCGTACGACCTCCGGAGTTCAGTTTCCTCAGTCCACAGTCAAGCGCTTTCTCCACCAGATTTATGAAATATACCCCATTATCATGGCAGCCATCCTATGCGGGCACGAATGGTCCAGAAAATCAATACCCATCTATTCGGACAATGCAGTGGTAGTTAAAATTATAAACAAGGGAAATAGTGTGCTGCTGTTATCATGCAATCATGTGCAGGCTCACTTAATATCCGTCCGACTGCAATTCCTCCTCCGATAAGCTCATATACCAGATACCTCATTCTCATAGCCAACTCATCATCTTGTTTCTCTTTTCAGAAATCCAGAGCCTTAGCCCAGAATCAACATTCATTCTACTCCAGCCCACTGCTGACCAAAAAAATCTTACAAACGCTTCTCAAAACCCATACTTAATCGCATTGCCCTGAGCGTGCTTCAGCGTACCTCAGCGGCTGGAGCCGCTCCAAGCTCACCATTCCTTCTATCAGTTTCCTTTCCATCAACCGACATGCTGCCCTTGCAACTTAATTTCTTACGCTCATTCCTTCTTAAAAGATCCTAACGTGCTCTTTCCAAGCCTACATATCAGGAATCAACTTATTCTATATACTAACCACTGGCAACAATTGCCCTGCTATCTCTCATTCTCACACATCCATGCTCGTTAAAAGCTAACGAAACAAGAACCTATGCCAAACCACCACACACCTTCCACTAACCTACTTAGCCTCTGCATAATCTCATACAATCATGCTGTCCAAATCCTGACACTGATCAAACTTCAGACTTAAATGTTCTCGCTAGCATTCTTCGGCTTCCTACGATGCTCAGAACTCGCTCTGACTCCTCTACATTCAATCCTTCTATCCACTCCTGTATTTTGGAGATTACTATCCACTCCTCAGATACTCTCATCTTCACCCTTTGAAGAAGCAAACTGACCAGTTAGGAACATCATTTCCTATTTACATCTTCTGTCCATACTCCTTCTGAATTCTTTCAAATCTATTTCCAAATATGTCCGCTCTTGACACGCAGGCCAAGCACTTCCTAAAGATCCGCTCTTCCTTACAGAAACCGGAAACCGGCCACAAGATTCAGCAACCAGATGTGGAATCTCCAACGAGACTATCAGAAGCCTTGGCTGCTGGTCATCTCGAGAATACCACGCCTACATCCGCAACAATATGAAGTTCTCTGTCAAGCCCAAGTTTACCTCAGCTCTTCCCAACTTAGGGGGTCCTAATCGTCTGGCCTAAATATACAAACAAGATGATACCACCATCCTGATTCTCTCCGGGCCATCAATTCCAGACGCCCATATCAACCTGACCATCATCCTATCCCCTTTACCTTTTCATCCTCTTCCAACTCATCCCTAACATTCTGAACAATAAACTATTCATTTACATATTTGGTTGTGGTGTGGTCCTTGCTCGTGAAAGGGAGTTAACTAGTTAACTGAGATTTGGGATCTAGGTCACGCCTCTACCAATCACCTCACTTCCGAAATACTTCATATATCGGGCTGCCTCATACCGCGCTGTTTGTCTCTTTCTCTCGAACCCACCCTTCCCTCCCCTTTAATCAAATCAGCTATCCTTATTCTTTTCAGATTGCATCGGGGGGTCCAAATCGTCTGGCCTAAATATACAATCGAGATGATACCCCCATCCTGGGTCTCTCCAGGCCATCAATTCCAGACGTCCAGATCAACCTGACCATCATCCTATCCCCTTTACCTTTCCATCCTCTTCTAACTCATCCCTAAAATTCTGAGCAATAAACTATTCATTTACATATTTGGCTGTGGTGTGGTCCTTGCTCGTGAAAATTAAGGAACGAGAGGAACGTCACCCAGCATAACAAAGTAAAAGTAGTTTTTTTTTTTTCCTTAGAAATGTATTCAAGTTAAAGTGTACCCACCTTTATATCTAATCTTAAAAGTTCAAATTTTCCAAAAATGTACTCAAGTAAATGTAATTTGTTACTACCCACCTCTGATTTCCAGTAGTGTGATTATGGGTAGATTGAGCCCCATTTTGTCAATAAGGTGATTGTACCTTAGCTTTAACCTGTCCCCAACACACTTGCCCCAAGTTTTTAGTAATCCTGATGAACTAGATGAACTGGTGCAGGTGTGTTTGCTTGGAGCTAAACTCTGCAGAATAGTGGCAAGCAAGACACCTCTTGTAAATAAATAAATAAATGAATGAATAAATAAATAAATAAATAAAAATAGTTCACCTGATGTTATCTTACCCCTAAAACACTCTATGCCCTTTTAGTAAACTGAAAAACTTTTTTCTTTTAGGCCATACAAATTCTAAATTTATTGCACAGCTTTTCACTTTAATGATGAAATATAAGTATGTCTGTATATAGACCGTTGTCATTGGCCTTTTAAAACACTGGAGCTTTTGTAAAGACCATTTAAAAGTTGTTTTATCTGCGCAATAAAATAAATGTTAGGTTCCCTTAGCGACCCCTAGAGGACGCAGTGTCTCGTTCCCTACTCAGGGAACCATGGTTACATAAGTAACCTGAGACATTTTCTATTAAACTGCTTTTTCAAGAGGGCAAACTTATACTGTATGTGAAACAAGATTGTTATGGTACTATTACTAATTTGCCAGTACAAGCACAAAGATGACATTTCAGTCACAAGCAATACATAACAATATGGACATGATTACTTCCATAATCTATTAATGGTATGACACAGCTGAGACTGCTCATCACTTATTTGCTGAGTGAATTAGTTTCCTGGGACTGGGAAAGTGACATTGTGCACAACAGAAGAAGGTGCTCCAAGGTCGATTATTACACTAATACAATTTCCACATAATTACAGTTAAACTCTCTTGTCCTCTGGCCTGTCCTTGAACCACGCTTGCACATTTGCAAACAGCAGCAAACGTGGCCTTCTCTAATGCCACTGTATCAAAACAGGGCCAAACCACAAAGCAAAAAGCAATCAGGGAAACAATCGATGCTTTTCAGTTTCATTTTCACATCTAGACTGACCTCTTATCTTCTCCTGGCAAAGGAGAGCGTTTGGACAATCATCTGTTGTTTGTACCTGTCTACATTCCGAAATTCTCTATAAAGTTTATAAGGCCCTGCACTTGGTCAATACTTTTCCTCTTTACAAAGTGCTCTCCTTTATTTTCTAACAGAAAACTAGATGGCTTAACCAGCATGAATGTTCTTTTCCTATCCCATTTGTTATTTCTGTCTATGGTTCCAAACAATTTGACAGCAGGTTACTTTCAAACCAAAAGACAAACAAATAGATCAAAGTGAACAGAGCAACAGTTATACTGCCTGACAGAAAATGGTTGATTTTTTTTTCATTGTACAAAGGAATCATTTGTGAAGAGCACATACGGATGTGAAAGTGCTCATAAGTCAAAGTATGTTTGCATTGCAATAGTGATAATTGCAGTATGCTGTAAGAAGGTATTGATAGTCCTTCATGAACGTAGATGTCACAATAGAACTGCCAAGTGCTAAATCATTGCACATCCATCATGACGGTTTACCTGAACCGAACTTAAGCTTGTGTGCTGGACGTTTTATTTGTAATGCAGGTTTTGCATAAAATGTGCAGAAAAGGAGACCGTTCAGACCTCTGACAAACTGTATGGAGACTAACAGGTAATACACAACCTCAACCTCAGCCTTTCTGTATCAGAAATTACTGGTGGATTTGTAATATTTGCACAACCAGACCAAAAACATGAGTTATCTCTAAGTTGAACATTCTTCATATCACTAACAGTGTCAGGTTATTATTATTATTATTATTTTATTTTAAAAAATTATGCACTAATGCATGCTTGTGTTTATTCTGCCTTAAAGCTAACTGGGAGAATATTTGTTTTCTTGTGTCTCCTAGAGGAGTTGACTGACTGTGATAGCTGTTCCTCATGGCAAGCTATGAATATGATGCAAACTTTCATCACAGGCATGATGGGATTAAAACAGGTAGGCGTGAATTGGAGCTCACTGAAGCCTTCATCCTAATGCAATTAATTACACCATCTACACTGGCCAGTCTGCTGGGCTGCCATACATCGTGTCAAAGAGGTTAAGTTACCCTGCATACTGTACTTAAGTTACATTTGTTTGAAAGTTGAATTCGCAAAAAAAAAAAAAAAAAAAAAAGAAAATCATACTGTAGTTTAATGTATTTGCCTACTTTCATAAGAACATTTGCTAATTATTATTTGAATATAGAAGCAGTACAGTACAAACTTAATTTATTTTTTATTACATTTGTTATTATTATTATTATTATTACATTTATTGTACATTGTAGGGTTTAATGTGTGGAAGGTCTCAAAATACAGAGTGGAACAATTTTGGTACGTTATTCTGGTTGGGGCATGATACTGAGAAGTTTGCTTGAGGAGGTATGCCTTGAGATGACATATGATTTGTAAGAAGAGTTTTCTCCCTAATAGCCAGTAGACTTCACTGCCAGACTACCCTGGACAACGAGGGAGTGTTGTCTTCAAGAGCAAAACACACACTCGTTCGTTCACTCATTGAGTGTCACTCTCCCTGCCTATAACTCTCTGAGCATTCAGTGGCATACGACACATGTCAGCATACTTCTTCACTACCGCCCTTTAAGGCAGCTGCAGTTCCATCTTCTTGTCACTCTAGAGGGGCCCTCTTTGCTTCAACTTAATTTGGTGGGAGAGCAGTACTGGAGATTTTCCACCAGCCTGACAGGCCCTTGAAGGAACACTAAGGGACAGCAGAAGAGAATCTACAATCATTTGCTGAAGACATAGATCTCCCTTTAGGCCATGTCCCCAGTGTTGTCACTTTGCATCTGGCACATACACAATAGAAAGCTTGACCTTACTGTGCACTGAAATGCTTCATCTTGGGAGACGGAGGCTGAGTAGATGAATCATAGCTTATGTATAAAGGTCAAACACATAGTTAATCTACTGCAGTGTTTCAGTGGACCTTGAAAAACACACACTTGTGAAACCTTTTCATTGAAGATGGACTTGGACAAGCACAATATTTTAATATGGAAGCATGAGCTTTTCTCAGAATTAACTTTTTTTTTTTTTCAATGACTAGATGATTTATTTATTTATTTTTTGTGGATGTGTAAAGTCACTTTTCCTGTCACATTCTCACAGGTGTCCTATAGACTCTAATTATAGAGTGAAAACAGTCTCAATACCACCCACAAATGCACACAGAAGATCCACACATGTATGCACATGTATTGCAATACACAAAGGTGTGCAAGAGATCCACATTGGCACAGCAATCCAAAAACACATGCTGCACTCAAAAAAGTAACTGTAATTTCAGGTAGAAAACCATGAATGGTATCATTCCTTACAAATGTCCATTAATATGCACTGTTGTGTGTATGGATACTTTTGAGACTTTAATTCTGCAGCCGTGATTCACAAATGTGTTAAAATATGTCCCATACATGAAGCTAGATGACGATGTAACATGGTGTCTTCCTCAAAAGAGCACTTAACAGCCTTCAAGCAAGACCATAATATTTTGTAAATTTTAGTAAATATTGTTTTTATATATGTAAATATAGAGAAAACCCAAGACTTATTTGATTATTTAACAATTGCAAACTCACTATATAAACACCTGTAATTGCATAAAATGGTTTCAAATTTATATTTATATATATTTACATAAAAAGTATTGGGACACACCTTCAGCTGTTTTAGTCAGACCCATTGCCTCAGGTCTAAAGTCAAGAACTTAGCCATGCAGTCTGCATTTACAAAAGCTCATCCCTGCTAGATATTCCACGGGTCAACTGTATTGGAAAGTGGAAGCGTTTGGGAACTGCAGGCACTCAGCCACAAAGTGGAAGACCACATAAAGTCACAGAGTGCTGAGACACATGGTGTGTAAAAGTCGCCATCGCTCAGCTGATTCCATAGCTGAAGAATTCCAAACTTCCACTTGCATTAATATCAGCTCAAAAACTGTGCAACAGGAGCTTTGTGCAAGCCTCACCAGGTACAATGACAAGTGTCAGATGGAGTGGTGTAAAGCATGCCACCACTGGACACTGAAGCAGTGAAATGTGTTTTGTGGAGTGACGAATCACGCTTCTCTGTTTGGCAGTCTGATGGACAAGTCTAGGTTTGGCTGAAGAGAATGTTACCTGCCTGACTGCATTGTCCCAACTGTAAAGTTTGGTGGAGGATAAATAATAGCATGAGGATGTTTTAGGGGTTGGTTTAAGCTCCAGTGAAGGAAATCTTAATGCTTCAGCATACCAAGAGATTTTGGACAATGCTCTGCTTCCAGCTTTGTGGGAACAGTTTGGGGAAGGCACTCATTGCACAAAGCAAAGTTCATAAAAACATGGATAGATGAGCCCTGACCTCAACCCCATTGAAAACTGGAAAACTGGGATGAACTGGAACGGTGATTGTGAGTTAGGACTTCTTGTCCAGACATCGTGACATCTATTTCAGTGCCGCTTGAAAGTTTGTGAACCCTTTATAATTTTCTATATTTCTGCATAAATATGACTCAAAACATAATCAATGTTTGTTTAAAACAAATGAGACAAAAAATATTTTCTTTGCCATTTATTTATTGAGAAACATTATCCAGTGTTACATATCTGTGAGTGGCAAAAGTATGTGAATCTCTAGGATTGGCAGTTAATTTGAAGTTGAAATTAGAATACATCTGTTTTTCAGAGTTGTTTTCAATGTTGTTTTAATTTCAATGAAATTACTATCAGGTGTCAGTGCGTGCCCTGTTTTATTTAAAGAACAGGGATCTATCAAAGTCTGATCATGTTTGTAAGTGTATCATTGCATGAACAAAGGAGATATCTGAGGACCTCAGAAAAAGAGTTGCTGTTGCTCATCAGACTAGAAAAGGTTACAAAAACATCTCTAAAGAGTTTTGATTCCACAAATCCACAGTCAGACAGATTGTGTACAAATGGAGGAAATTCAAGACCACTGTTACCCTCCCCAGGAGTGATTGACAAACAAAGATCACTCCTCACTCCAAAAGCAAGACGTGTAATAGTCTGCAAGTTTGCAAAGGAACCCAGGGTAACTTCTAAGCAACTAAAGGCCATTCCCACATTGGCTAATGTTAATGTTCATGAGTCCACCATCAGAAGAACACTGAACAACCACGGTGTTCATGGTGCATCCAAAAAGAACATTGCTGCCAGTCTGCAGTTTGCTAAAGATCATGCGGACAAGCCAAAGGGCTACTGGAGACATGTTTTGTGGACAGATGAGACCAAAATAGAACTTTTTGGTTTAAATGAGAAGTGTTATGTTTGAAGAAAAGAACACACTGTATTCCAGCATAAGAACCTCATCCCATCTGTGAAATGTGGTGGTGGTAGTATCATGGTTTGGGCCTGTTTTGCTGCATCTGGACCAGGACAGCTTGCCATCATTGATGGAACAATGAATTATAATTATCTCAGGACATCTGTCAGTGAACTAATTCTCAAGAGAAAGTGGGTCATGCAGCAAGACAATGACCCCAAGCACACAAGTTGTTCTACCAAACAATGGTTAAAGAAGAACAAAGCAAATGTTTCATAATGGTCAAGTCAAAGTCCGGACCTTAATTCAATTGAAATTTTGTGGAAGTAACTGAAGCAAGTAGTTCATAGGAGGAAACCCACCAACATCACAGAGCTGAAGCGGTTCTGTACTGTGGAATGGTCTAAAACTCCTTCAAGATGTTGTGCAGGACTGATCAGCAGTTACAAGAAACATTACCTGCAGTTATTGTTGCAAAATGGGGTCAGACCAGATACTGAAAGCAAAGATTCATATACTTTTGCCACTCACAGATATGTAACATTGGATATTTTTTTCTCAATAAATAAATGGCAAAGAAAATATTTTTGTCTAATTTGTTTTTTTGGGTTCTCTTTGTCTACTTTCAGGACTTGTGTGAAATTTTGATTATGTTTTGAGTCATATTTATGCAGAAACATAGACAATTCTAAAGGATTCACAAACTTTCAAGCAGCACTGTATGGTCTCCTGGATGAATGGGCATGAATGTAAGGATTAAAGTGGGCCAAACATTTAGCAGTTTCAACCTGAACTTTAACCACTAGGTTATTTCAAATATAAATAAGCATTTACAATATGCAATACACCAAAATAAAGATCAGAGCCTCTACTTTTAAACAAAAAAAAATATCAGTTTTATTCTGGCGTAAAGCATTATTTTTTTATCAACAATTGAATATAGGTAGGTTTCATAAAAAAAATTATTTTGAGCAAAAAGGTGAGAAAATCTGGATAATATTCAGTACGATTATCAAAGCATAAATCCAGTAAATCGCTTCCATCAATACCTCCAAAGCTTGCACAGACATATACCACTTCCTGGATCAACATTTTACTCTGTAACATTGTGCAGTTTTCATTTATATGCTGTCTATTGCTGATGATTGCATTATTTTTCATATGCATCTGTTTGCATAAGAGATCGCAAGTTTCTCCGTCCTGTTCTCGTGTGTTTTTGTTCGCCCCCCCCCCCCCCCAATAAGTATAATATCATTGGGTCTTTAAATATAATTTTGTCAAATCCAATTGATTTACCATTGAAATATGATGTTTTTATAATGTTTATGACTGTTTCGCCAGCTTCATTGAGTGAAAAACCTAGGACTAGTTTGTAAAAGTAGGTTTTTCACATCTTCTCAATCATTTAAAAAACGGTTTTATTGACATCAGTGGTTCTAGAGGCAAAGTTGTTCGGAACGGGGAGGTCTATCATACGATACAAATATCTTGTGTATGTGCGGAAAATATCGCAATGCAAAATTGTTTACGCAATTATAAAATGCGATACCGCCCCCCAGTGGCCGATTTCTTTAAAATTTCTCACAGACCTTTGAGTCAAACAGGCCCACCGACTTTCGTTTCGATCGGCCTCCATTAACCTTGTCTAATAGGTGCTCAAACTTCGTCGGCCAATGGCTGCCATGTGTTTTTGAGATACGCAAATTTGCACTTTGGACCAAGACCGTGCACGGCGATTTTCATGTTGATAGGACAAATGGTTGCCTAGTTATAGCCATTTTTATGTTTTTCTCTCTTATAGTGCCACTAAGTGGCCAATCTCCGCAATTTTTTTTCCCTGTGACTTCAGCTTGAGCTCTTACATAAGTGTTCCGAGTTTGGCGAGTTTTTTTTTGATAACTATTAATATTCACTCTCCAGAGAATCTTTCTGCACTGGTTTGGTTCCAATTGGGTGAAAAACCTAGGACTAGTTCGCAAAAGTAGGTTTTGCAAAAAATGCGAAATACCCGAAAATTTCGCCAGGCTCACGATCGAATCTGAGGCATGTGTTTTATCCAGCATGAGAAGGATTCCAACGAAATAAGACACTTGAGCCTGCGACTGACGGTTTAGGAGTTATGAGCGATTTTGTACTTTCGATCGCTGTAACACCCCCCTCAGGCTGATTGGGGCGAGCTTCAGTCACGTTGTTGGTGGTGTGAGTACTATCATCCCTCCAAGTTTCAAGTCTCTACGACTTACGGTTTCGTCTGCATGATCAGTTTTACGTGGAAATCACTCATCTGTGACCATTCTAACAATTACAATAGGGTTTCAGCACTACGCACTTGAACCCCTAATAAAGCAGCTTTGGTCTTATTTAGACAGACTCAAGTAGCTAGACTGAGATGAGTGAGATGAGGCAGTGCATTTTCAGCTTTTTTTTTTTTGCCTGTTTCTCTGGTGGCCTCATTAGCTGTCTCTCCACCGCCTCAGCAGTGCTGCAGCTGCAACATGGCCTGATGATGACAGTTGCTGCTCCGTTCCAGTCCCATGCAGATCAAAACTGGTCTCATTCCCTTAAAACTGCCTATCCCACGGGTGTGTCCAGGGAGTGTTGAACAAAACCACACTGTCCCAGATAAGAAGTCACTAAAACATCACCATTAGGCTCATCAAGCTGCCGCTCAATAACCAGTGGCATCTTAAAATTGTTTTCTTGCTGCTGTTAGCGTCATCTTAGTGGATAATGAGGCCCCACAGACATTTGTCTATTTGTTAAGTCAACATTGAGTCTGTAGAGTAGTTTTCTCTTTAGAAATTATCTTTGCTTAATCCTTGGTAAACCGTACCACTGTCCGAATTATCTTTGGTATTGACTCAATCACATGTTTTTTCTTCAAGCCAGTGGAGGCAAAATACATTAAATAATGTGCATTGTATGTTGTACCTCAACACAAGCAAATGTTTCCTAATAATGACTCACACAAGATTAGAAAAACCCATCTGTCTCATAGCCACACATGGTTTTCCTTCAGGAGAAAGAGAATATTGACTCCTTGTATACCCTAAATAGTGGGAGAAGATTCCCAAACTAAAACATCACAACAAGTCTAGTCTTTGATAAGCAACACTGTCTACAGTCTTTTGAGTCTTTTATTGCCTGATAATTGTGGCATCTCCATTTAGCTGTCCAATAGTGACAAGTATTATTCTCAGCTCAGCATACAGGCTGAATCACTGCAACAAGGCAGTAGATATACATGCAAACAAGACAAAAACTGGATGTCATCTGTAAAAAGTTACAGAATATCTAAACTGTAGCATTCTGGGATACTAATATTTTGAGGAAGGAGCATAACCAGAAATTTTAATGTATTGGAAAGTTTTGATGAAAACGCACAGGCAGGTTTTCCTGTCGGTGAGTTATAACTGCTGTATGCGACAGCCGTAAAGTCACTCAGGCAGAAAAAGCTGACAGTGTAAGAAAAAAAGCAGTGTTTGGCTTTTTTTCTGTAATCATTGTGTTGCATATCAATACAGGTATTTGTCATAGCCTGAAATCTTAAAGCTCATTAATTTTGGCTTTTAGTCTTTAAGGACCCCATATTGAATATTTCTACCAAATGATGATAAAAAAGTCACCACTTATGCAATACAATGCCATGCAAATTAAATAAAAGTTAATCACCCTTCCTGAAAGCGTTCTTTTTTTCTTTTTCCTCCCCTTTGCTTGGTTGAAAACAGAAGCTGGCTTTAACCTCGGAAACATCATATTTCATTATTTCATCTTCAATATTAAAGACAACATAGCATCAAAATTAAATATTTTCTTAATAAATGTTCCTGAACCTATCAAGCATCAGCAAACTGAAAAGCCCAATTACAGATGTAAGTGTATTCTATATGTAGTTTACCTACAGCAAGTATTCCTTGTATAATTTGAACAGTTTGAACACACACACACACACATTAGGGCTGTCAATAGATTCAAATTTTTAATTGGATTAATCAAACCCTGTTCGCAATTAAGCGCAGACTTATCATGAAATTAAACATACCATTTATCTTGTGTAACACATTCATTTTGTCATCATTTACTATATCCAGCACAGTAAACCAAAAGATTGAAGTGTGATTATCACTAAACTGTATGTTATGCAAGCTTTATATCAAGTTATAAATTTAGATATCTCTTCAAAAAAGGACACTTGGACACTCCTAAAAGACACCAAAATACCAAAAGATATAAGATGTTTATTTGTTATATTTGTGTATATATATATATATATATATATATATATATATATATATATAACTTTTCAGAATTGTATAGAATTTGTACAGCAGACAAGTCAAGTTGCGATATTGAACAGGACCACATGGAGATGCCAAAAAAACCCCAAACCAACGGTCTTGAACTGATTGCTTACATACAACAGTACACAGATCCATTCAGAATGACTAAACATAGCAACAAACACATGACAAATCAAAACTGTGTGTATGACAAACTTTGGCGACTTTAACATTCTTTTGGACAAGCCATATGCTGCAGACTTCCATTCAACTTCTTGTCTAGAAAATATATGTCCTCTCTCCTCCAGGCTAGCACGGGCTACCCCTTCTAACCCCTGGTTATCCGATGTTGTGAGCATCGGTCCAAACTCAGGGCAGCAGAGAGAAAATGGCGCAAATCAAAAGAGCTGTCTGACCTGAGTATGTATCAGTCTTTGCTTTCATCTTTCTCTGCTCAAGTCCATACTGCCAAATCTTCATATTTTCACAACAAGATCAACAGCGCTACAGACACACGTAACCTCTTCAAAACATTCAATTATCTACTCTGTCCCCCTCCACCACCTCACACCACTTCTATAACAGCTGATGATTTCGCAACCTACATTAAACACTTCACTTACAGACCTGTCTCTCTCCTTCCTTTCATAGCAAAAACACTCGAATTAGTTGTTTTTAACCAGGTATCATTATTTCTTACACAGAACAACCAAGCTGTCTGACCTGAGTATGTATCAGTCTTTGCTTTCATCTTTCTCTGCTCAAGTCCATACTGCCAAATCTTCATATTTTCACAACAAGATCAACAGCGCTACAGACACACGTAACCTCTTCAAAACATTCAATTATCTACTCTGTCCCCCTCCACCACCTCACACCACTTCTATAACAGCTGATGATTTCGCAACCTACATTAAACACTTCACTTACAGACCTGTCTCTCTCCTTCCTTTCATAGCAAAAAAAAAACTCAAACAAGTTGTTTTTAACCTGGTATCATTGTTTCTTTCACAGAACAACCAACTGGATCCTAACCAGTCAGGCTTCAGGAGTGGCCATTCAACTGAGACTACGCTACTGTCAGTCACTGAAGCCCTGCACATTGCAAAAGCTGATTCCAAATCATCAGTTCTTATTTTGCTATATCTATCTGCTGCTTTTGACACGGTGAATCATCAGATGCTGCTAACGGAGCATGCTGCACAACTTCTTGTCCAGGCCCTTGTCATTTCTAAGCTGGACTACTGCAATGCTCTTCTGGCTGGACTTCCATCATGCACAGTCAAATATTTGCAAATGATTCAGAATGCAGTGGCAAGACTGGTCTTCAACGAGCCCAAAAGAGCCCATGTTACACCTCTCTTTATCTCCCTGCACTGGCTGCCGTTTATGGCTCACATCAAGTTTAAGACACTGATGCTTGCATATAGAACAGCCTCAGGCTCAGCA